GGCCGCCGCCTTTGCTCTCTCGCCCTGGACAGTCAGGATTTGCAGCCACTCGAGCTGCACCAGCCGGTCCACGTACTTCCCCAGAAGCCCTCCTGCTCGTGGCGCGGGGGCCGGCCTGGGCTCCGTGTTGGCGAGCAGAGCCATGTCCCGCAAGTCCCAGGAGTTACAAGGCGGCGGGAGGAAGTCGGGGTAGCAGTATTCGGGTCTGGCGTGGCCCTGACCTGGTTGAAGATCAAGGTCGAAGCAGACCGGGTCGATCTCCTCCGCTCGCAGACGCAGGTCTGGAGGCGTGCGTGGGGACGGGGGGCAGGGGACGCGCTCCGAGTCGGAGAGGTCGCTGGCACTGTCCTCGGAGTCCTCTTTCATGAGCCTCAGGGACTGGAAGTCCAGCAGCAGCTTGTTCCCCGAGGCCCCCGGACATCCGGGCCGCAGCGGACTCCTTTCGGCTTTACCTTCCGGGAAAATGCTTCCTCCAAGCTCCTCCCCAGCCGGAGGGGAGACGCGGAGGAGGCTGCCCTTTGGCCTGGAAGGAACAGGGAGGCCTCCTGGCTCGCTCTGCCTTTTCCCTGAAGCGTTCTTCCAACGTGGCACTTTATTCCAAGACCGGCCGGCATCCATGCTGCTGTGAGGAACAAAACTGCGATTCTTAGTACCCAGTACCCGGGACAGACACTGTCTGCCGGCCCCTCGCCCACAGAACCACCTGGCCAGGGCTAAGGGCCAAAGGCAGGCCTCGCAGCTCCTGGAGCGAGCAGGTCTACAGACAACCCAGAACCGGTTCTGGAAACACCATACAACCAACACAGGTGCCAGACATGCTTGCACAGATTCTATTTTATATCATTAACCAGCATTTCTTAAGAGCTCAGGTTATTATCCTAGGCTACTGTGTATACTTTGAAAACCGCTGGTTTGGAAAGAGTCTGTTGGAGAACTCTCAACCTGTTCTGTTAGTGATGAGCAGTGTTTAATAACATTCAGGAGGAAATCCATGGCTTCCTCTTATATGCCTGTTTTAAATAAAGTGTAAACAAGATGTAAAAGGCATGTTTTATAGAACTTACTAGCTGGTGGGGATCCTGAGCCAACTAAAATCTATAATAATAAACGAGTAATATGCTACTTAGATCGGACAGCCAAACGACCTTCTGGGCGTCATTCCGGATGTCCTTCCGGACAAAGCCATGGCAGCAGGGGCAGAGGCAGTTAGGGGTGATCAGGCAGGCAGGCAGGCCAGCAGTTAGGAGCCAGTGGTCCTGGATTGCGAGAGGGATGTCCCACTGCCAGTTTAGGCCCAATCCCGCATCAGGCCTAGACTGGCATTCGGACATCACCTGAGGCAGCGGTTCTCAACCTGTGTGTCGCGACCCCTTTGGCGGTCGAACGACTCTTTCACAGGGGTCACCTAAGACCATCCTGCATATCAGATATTTACATTACGATTCAAAACAGTAGCAACATTACAGTTATGAAGTAGCAACGAAAATAATTTTATGGTTGGGTCACAACATGAGGAACTGTATTTAAAGGGCCAGAAGGTTGAGAACCATTGCCCTGAGGGGTCCCAGATTGTGAGGGGGTACAGGCCAGGCTGAGGGACCCTCCTGAGTGCACAAATTTCGTGTACTGGGCCTTTAGTCGTATATAATAAAAGGCTAATATGCAAATAGACCCAACGGCAGAACAACCGAACAACCAAACAACTGGTCACTATGATGTGCACTGACCACCAGGGGGCATGTGCGGAACATGGTGGGCGTTTGGTAGAGCAGGTGAGTGGGGGCGCCAGACCAAGGCAGGGCACCAGTCACTGTCATTGGGGTGAGCCTCTGGTGATTACTGAAAATTCTTTGCTCCTGTGCGCTGTGGTCCACCCGGCACTCGCACCTACTGCCAGCACCGGTCCCGCTCACACCTGCTGCCAGTGCCGTAGCTGCTGCTCGCACCCGCTGCCAGCGTCCAGCACCAGCCCTGACTGTCCGGCGCCGTCAGCGGGTGCAAGCAGCAGCTGCTGGACCCAATCGCCCCTCAGGGCTTCTCCACCTCCCCCTGCTCCTGAGGGGAGATAGGGGCCGGCAGCCGCCTCTTGCACCCACTGCCAGTGCTGGCCCTGCTCGCACCCATAGCCAACGCCAGAGCTGCTGCTTGTACCCACTGCCGGTGCCCAGAGCCAGTCCTGATTGCTTGGCGCCCTCAGTGGGTGTGAGTGGCAGCTGCTGGCCCTGATCGCCCCTGAGGGCTTCTCCACCTCCCTCTGCTCCTGAGGGGCGATCAGGGCAGCAGCTGCCACTCGCACCTGCTGACAGTGCCGGCTCCAATCTCTTCACACCTTCAGCAGGTGGGAGCGGGCTGATGCCATCAGCACATGAGAGTGGCAGCAGGGCTGTTGGCAGACAGGTGATCAGAGGCCACAGCGGGAGGGGCCAGGCAAAGGCGCTAAGGATGGGTCGAGACCCGCCCCTGTGCCTACCGCAGCCTTGCGGCTCACAGTTCCTTTCAAGGTGCACGGATTTGTGCACTGGGCCCCTAGTCTTAATATGAAGAAGTGTAGCATATACAACCTATACCTTCAACCAAAAGCTCATTAGCATTTTGAATAGGAAACAGGAACTCTGTATTTAAAAGGACACAGTTGCATGGTGTCTTAAGACACAATAAGAATGGAAAACCGGTTAGTGCTGTCTGGTGTGTGGTGGGTAGAGGGAACTTCTGAACACGGTGTGCTTGGCTAGAAGAGCACCTAATTCTTCCTGGGGTAATTCATTCAGAGGCAGGACCCCATATCCGCATTGACAATATTTTCTTTTCAATTTACTTACCAAGGACATAGCATTTCACTAAGAATAATACTTCTCAGCACCATATGTCAGAAGGGGCAAAAAACAAAATGGGTGGCAGACATGCAACTAGTCATGTTTAAAGCCACTCGCTCACTCATTTCTGCTAGATAAAAATACAGGTGCATGTTTCTTATCCACAGACATACTATTTCTTTCCCCAACCACACACAGTCTGTCTGGAGGATCGAGATGGCGCAATTTTACAAGATACAGCAGTTATAGGAAAACTGTTTACCTGCTCTTCTGATGAGATTCACTCACCCTACTCCCTTTCTTGAAAAAATCACAGGGCTGGTCATCATCTAGGGCTGGACGCACTGCCTAAAAAACCAGACACGTGGTGATGAATCCCATGAACACACAAGAAACAGGCAGAAACCAGAACAGATCTAAGTGCGATCCTCCATCGGGCACATCACCTTCTCTGTTGTGCTTGAAATATTCTTGTGCAATCTGTTAGAAGACGGTGAAAGGTGGGGAGGTGGCTTCTTTATTCCTCTTATATTTTGAAAAGACTCCTTACCACTGGAACTATAAGCAACAGAAATCAGTCAATAAGTACTTTTTAAATTCATTTTTCAATTATAGTTGACATACATATTGTATTAGTGTCAGGCATACGACATATAGTGATTAGACATTTATATAACTTATCAAGTGATCAGCCCAGTAAGTCCAGTACCCATCTGACACCAGACATGGTCATTAGGATATTGTTGACTATATTCCCTATGCTGTACGTTAGGGACTAATTTTATAACTTGCAGCTTGTACTTCTTAATTTCTTCCCCCTTTCACCCATCCCCCCACTCCCTTCCCATCTGGCAACCATCAATTTGTTCTCTGTATCTACAAGTTTGTTTCTAAAAATATGGAACGCTTCACAAATTTCAAAATTTGCATATGACCCTTGCCCAGGGTCCATGCTAAGCCTCTCTGCATCAGTCCGTTTGGGGATGTATGTTGCCGAAGCCAGCACAGTCCGTGAGTATTTATTGCACACGGTCCTGTATCCAGAGTTGGGCTGGTTCTCACTAGCTTGTTTTTAAAACTTTGTATAGTATTAAAATATTGGTGGGAGAGATTGCCTTATGTTTACAGTTTAATTTTTTCTACTTTATTTTCACAGTGGATATTGGATATGAGATCACACTGCTATAAATGCTGCGAATGGATTCACACACACACACACCATCTCTTTGGAAATAACATATTGAGGAAATCTGTGAGGCTAAGGTCAGGTGTCACTCCAAAGCTCCCATATCCAATCATTCATTCATTCACAAATAATTACAGAAGTGCCTAGAAAATGACAGGATTGTGGCAATGTCTCACCTCTCATGGAGCTTAACTCTATTGGGGAAGCTCCCTTTCAAATCCCACTATCACATCAACCCATTAAAAGATTATCAATATATTAACACAATATCATATCGTCTTATCTCTTTGTGAAATTCTGTTGACTCAGACCACACAGTGCTGCTACTGCCTCTTATTTTGAGTGGCCTACAAGTGCCCTGATTTGAAAGTGAATGCCCTCTTTAATAACGCCGCCTGCCTGGAAGGAGGTGGGTTATAGGTCTTCATTGTCTTCCTGGGACTTCGCTGTATTACTTTTCACAATAAGCATGTATGCCTTTTTGGTCAGTTTATATGTGATGGTAATAAAAATCCCATCTGGGCTCTCACAATTAATGAGGTATGCCAAAATCAACAGGCTTGATTTTAGATATACAGGATGTTCTTTACCAACCCTCTTTCATTAGTTTGGTGTTCTTTCTGCTCTGGACAGTAATAAGGAACCCTCTAGAATTCCTGGCCCCAAGCTGCTCCAGGCTTCTGTGTTTTTTTGCACAAAGTTAAGGAGACACATATCCGAAGGCCCTGAGGATGCAGAAAACAAGCTCAGATTGGTTCAGGCTTGCCTCAGAACAAAGCTAAAAGTCCAAGATTTTGGCTGCAAAAATGCTTCCCAATAAGGATAGCTGCATCACAGGGTATTAACTCTTGTTCCCACATCTGCCTCTAGGGCAGCGGTTCTCAACCTGTGGGTCGCGACCCCTTTGGGGGTCGAACGACCCTTTCACAGGGATCACCTAAGACCATCGGAAAACACATGTATAATTACATATTGTTTTTGTGATTAATCACTATGCTTTAATTATGTTCAATTTGTAACAATGAAAATACATCCTGCATATCAGATATTTACATTACAATTCATAACAGTAGCAAAATTACAGTTATGAAGTAGCAACGAAAATAATTTTATGGTTGGGGGTCACCACAACATGAGGAACTGTATTAAAGGGTCACGGCATTAGGAAGGTTGAGAACCACTGCTAGAGGCTTGACGCTTAGAGAGGAACAGTAGCAGCACCGCCCCGCCCCCCAGGAATTGGCTGGCGGTCCTGGGGGCAAAGCATTGTGGGTGACGTGTGGACCAGACGCTTATCTGTGCAGTGAGGCTCCCTCGGTCCATCCGAGGGTCCAGGCAGCAGGACATAAGTACAAAGAGCTGGCCAGCCTAGAGGCTTGAAATGAGCTTGGGGGCAGCTCCTGGAAAGGCCAGTTTTTGCAACCCCTCCCTCCCTGCCACCAGTAACCCATAAATCCAAGGACCCACAGCATGCGTTTTCCTTGTCTTCCGTTTGTGCAGACACGGATCTATGATCTACAGGCGCGCGGCCTGGCAGACACAGACAGAAATTGATCAGACCTGTTTCTTGATCGCCGAGGACACGTGACGAGGCCGCCAGCCTTCCTTCCCAGCGCCCTAGCGGGAAGCCGTTCTGCTGTGCACGGCGGCAGGGGCGGAC